AGTACCGGCTAAATTTTCGCTATTCATTGTGTTGTGCTTATTCCTTTAAAAATAATAATAAATAATAATTATTATTATAATTATAATTCATGAGGATATGGGGAGGTCAGCATACAGGAGGTCAGCTACTAACAAAACAGTAAAGAAGCGAAAACCGTCGATAGCTAAAAGTCGATTAATAGGCTATCGGTCGATAAGCATTGGCAATCGAAAAGCCGATTAATAGGCTAGCGATCGATAAACATTGGCAATCGAAAAGCCGATAAATAGGCTAGCGGTCGATAAAGTGTTAATAATGTTTAAAATTTAAACTTCGATGATATAAAAACGATCTTAGAACGTGATACGAGAATTTTAGTGCTGCCTCAGGGTCACCACTCGAGTGCAAAGGGTTAATCGTCGAATATCGGTCGCTTCGTGCGACCATTTCGATAAATCGTGTCAAAAAGATCCGGTAACCGCAGTCCGAGGGTTAAAAGACGCGTGTCCGCGCGCCTTATTTCCGATCGAGAGCGTTCTTGCCCCGTGCTGGAAATGATCGAGTAACGTATTTAAATTCCATCCTCGGGAGACTGAAAAGAAAATTGCTGAAATCATGATTGCACGGCTCGTTTCGTTTCACGTAACAAGCCACGAGCCACCGTTTCCGCGGCGGTTTTCACAGTTTCAGAAATAAAATGAAAGTAACTCGGCGCGGATAGAAGAATATGGCGTCGGGCACACGGTAAACTTCGTACGGCACGGCAGGTTCGATGGGGCAATGGTTGCCAGTTCGGATGATCAATGGTATTCCACGTTTCTCGAATCGTTCCAGCGATTTACATCTGCGCGAGGATGATTTAACGAAGTTATTTCGCGCAACATCCGCGCCCTAAACGTATCCGCAAAACTCGACGAGATCGAAATCTTATTAACCCTCTATGGGCCCGTGTAACTTATCACTCCAAACGACAGTAACACAGTAATTTCTCTCTTACTCGCGCTCAGATTGTGCACAAAAATGGACAATTTAGGAAGAAAGGATACGATTGTTCCAGGCTCGCGGCTCAATTCTACAGTTACCGATTGTCAACAGCTATAAAAACGAGCCGTAAGGCTCGAATAATGGTATTTCCTCTTCCCAAATTATTCATTTTTGTGCACAATCCGAGTGCCGATTAGTGGAAATATGGAAATATCTGCCGTCATTTTCAAGTAAAACATTTAAGCCTCTATGGGCCCATGTCACTTTCAAGTCACAAGCTAATATATCCACATTTCACCAAATAGTTTTTTAGTTTCTTTCACACCATTTCTCTTCAATTTATTATTATTACAGTAGAACTTCGCTTATTTGAACTTTATTTATTAATCCTTATCGCTCCAAACGACAGTGATACAGTAATTTCTCTCTTATTCGCGCTCAGACTGTGCACAAAAACGGACAATTTAGGAAGAAAGGATACGATTGTCCCAGGCTCGCGGCTCATTTTTACAGTTACCGATTGTCAACAGCTATAAAAACGAGCCGTAAGGCTCGAATAATGGTACTTCCTCTTCCCAAATTATTCATTTTTGTGCACAATCCGAGTTGTCAATTAGTGGAAATATGGAAATATCTGCCGTCATTTGCAAGTAAAACATTTAACCCTCTATGGGCCCACGCAACTTTCAAGTCACAAGCTAATATATCCACATTTTATCAAATAGTTTTAGTTTTTTTCACAAGATGGTGTATACGTCTTAATTATATAATGCCTCTGAAATAACCGATAACAATATTGACGACGGTTGGCAGCACCATCAACCTGAAATGTCAAAATAAATACCTTGCAAGTTGTCCGCAGATAGAAACCAAAGGGACCATCTTGTGCAATTGAGATTATTTGTGCTTTTGTCGGTGTTTACTAAATAAAAAAAAGCGTATATAATAGCTCCGGGTTCGTATATCAATAACAATTTATTTATTTGCATTTCAATAATCATTTTGTTATCATTTGTATAAGATACAATTTTGCAACTTTCAGATTACATTGAGATATTGTGGTAGATTCGAGTGTATTTAGGATAATAGTTGTGCTTTCTTCTATTTTCAACTTTATATATCAAATACCCAAAATATGGATACAAAATCATATAAAAATAAAAGAGGAATTAGAATTAAACGAATTAGCGGTAATAGATCCGAAGATTCCTTTTTAGATTCTGAGTCCGATGAAGATCATCCGGTAGCATTTACCAGACGACGCATAAATATTATTGACAGCGATGACAAAACGTGCGAAAAGATGAAGCAGCACATTGGCCAACTTTTTCGGACAACGAGAGCGCTGCAAAAAGCCGGGGTGTAAAGGAGTTCCAAAAATAAAATGTTCCAAATGCAACGTGCATCAACGTTTAACGGCAAATTCAAACTGTTTTATGAAATTTCACGCTTATGCGTTTATGCACAGAAGTGGAAACATTGTAAGCCGTTGTTACTTCAAAGTTACAAATTGAATCAATTATAATAAAGTTGTTTAAACTGTTAAATATTTTTCAAATTAGCACATATATAGGTTTATAATAATAGACGTTCCGTTGCATACATTTGTTTACATTTAAGAAAAAAAATTCGGCTCATAGAGGGTTAAACGAATCGCGCGCTTCGAAGCCTCTGCCATTTCACTTCCGATTTTCGGACGAAGAAAAGAGAAAAGGACAATTTGAAGAGGAACGATAAAGTCGCAGACGTCGGATAATTGCTTCTTAATAAAGAAATTGAAATTAGAAGGCTGTTATCGCTGATGTTAAACTTTTCGTCCAGTTCGTCAATGATCCGTTTTTTTTTTTTCAATGAACGCGGTGGACATAGCTTCCACGGAAAACGATACGACGGTGACTCGCGATAAGGTCTGCGGTTGGATTCGGTCAGCGAATCGGCGTGTTTCCGGTATCGTCGTTACGACATCGGGCAAGATCGGGTTTGCTGCGGGAAGCATTCGCGCGTTTGCTAATACGGCTGAAGAAGCGGCAAAGGCCGCTCGAAGCGGCCCAGAAGAGCGGCTCGCGCTGCGCAGTGGCGTGCAGCCGCGGGGATAAGATAATTCGACGCGCTGCTTTCCTGAAAAAATTCTAGAATAAATTGTTCCTGGATGCGGCGATGCGGCGAGCCTCGACTTACGGGACCGTTGAGCATCCGAACGCGTTCTCGCTGGTCGTCTAAACCCGACGATGCTCTATCGCGTCGTTGGCTTCCCTTCCTGGGGGTGTGAAGGGCGTCGATCGCGTTCAAGATCTCTCTTCGTCCATCTCGTATTCTGCTGCCGTGCAGTAGCAGAAGTCCAATTCAAAGAAAGAAATAATCAGCAATGTCTCTCGACCGGCTGACCAATAGACGTTTAACGAATGTATGTACACGTAGTTCGAGCCCTCGTTTACGCGGCTTCTGGCGCGACTTCGCCGGAAACCACTCGCCTCGAAACCACTTCGTCGCGCGATCGTCTTGTTTACTTACTGCTACTCCGGAGGCTGAACGAAGTAGCAACGGCGCATAGTGGGCTGGATCGAGAAATTCAGTGACATTCTGTTGTAACTTTCGAACCGTCAGAGATATTGCAATGAAATTTTCGCCAAAAATATTTAAAAACTATAGATGATTAAATTTCTAATTAATTTTCATTGACATTTCTTGTGAAAAAAAGAAATTGTTTAAATACAATGTTACAAACTATTTGTAACATTACAATATTATATTATAATTACATATATAATTATATATATAATAAAATTATATATATATAATTATATATATAATAAAAAATTATATATATATAATTATATATATAATAAAATTATATATATATATAATTATATATATAATAAAATTATATATATATATATAATTATATATATAATAAAATTATATATATAAACATTACAATAATAACGTACCTGGAATTACTAGTGGGTCCCAGAAAAAGTTCTCTGTATGCATTAAATCCTGAAGCTGCAGATTTATTGAAACAATAACAAAATGATAAGATTAATTGACGTACTCTACATTTTATCAAAAGCTCGAACTGTTGAAATTTACCAACTACATAAAATGCATACAGAGAACTTTTTCTGGGACGCGTACTTTATTGCACCCACACTGGTTACGTGGACCCACTAGTAATTCCAGGTACGTTAGTATTGTAATGTTACAAAGTTTGTTTCGTTTACCTATATTTTTCACGTTATATGGAATAATTAAAAATTGTAAATATCTGTCGATATACAGACGAAGAAGCGTTCTGTAATACCGACTGGAACACAGAGAAATTACTTTAACCTCAAAGTACCGTAACGTTGATATCTTTAAAACGTAATAATTTACAATCTGGTTCGTCTTGGTATGTAACTTTTACAGAATCATGTAGAGGAAAGTATCCTGAAAATAGACCGTTTGTCCGAAACCGTGATTCCTTGGGTGTCAAAAGATATTCCTTGTCGAATGTAAAGAATTTTTACGCTTTTTCTATTTTATTCAACATTATATTTTTCATATGTAGGATACGATAATCGTAATTTAAGCTACTGTTTCCTAGCGAAAAATATTGCCTCCTAATGTTAAAAAAGAAAGCGAATGAAAAAAATTAATTAGGTTCGTCAGGACACATTGCGAGGAAAAGAAGCATATTTTTCGGCGTCGAATGTAGTGTTCAAAATGTTCAACTTCAAATCGTCTTATCTATTACAATCTATCATCATTTTTATTAATATTTCCACTTTCGAGGGTAATGGACATTCAACAAGCGATACAAATTGACCGGAGACATCGATATGAGAAAATCAGGTTATTGTCAAAAAGTCGCTAAAATCTTCGATTCGGCCCACCGTGCGGCGCTATCGGCGCGCCGGCGAATAGAATCTCGAGTAGGATGGCGCGACTGTTCTGTACGATCGCTCGAAAGCTCGAAAGCTCGAAAGCTCGAACGCTCGAATGCTCGAGTGCCGTTTAAAAAAGTTTGCTGATTGTTGGACAATTGACTGCACAGAGGTGCGGCAGGAGGCGGTACAGCAGGCTTTGGCAGCGATGCAGGGTCGGCCGAAGCCATCGCTGCCGATGCCGTCGAAGAGGACCTCCGTGATGGCCAGGAGCCCGGACCGGGAGCGTCGCGACAGCGGCGAGTCCAGCAGCGACGAGGACAGCGTGGTCACCGAGGAGAGCCCCGGCGCCGGTGGTCCGACGGGTATAACTTTCGAATCTCATTTTATCTGTGCGTATCTTGATCCGCGATCGCTTGTCCGTCGTAAATTCGTTCGGCTCCGCTTATTTGCATTCGCGGGGGGAACGCGACGGCGACGGTGGCGCGACGCTACAGGAACTAGTCGCACCCCCTTTACCCGTACACGCGCGACTTTACTGTACGGTATAGGTATTTTCGCCGAACCACCGAGCCGCGCCGTTCGTTCGGTTTCGTTTTATCGCCTATCGTTAATGCGGATTTGCTGTTGAGATACCGTGGCCGGAGCGGACACTCGCCGGAGGCGTCCGCCGTTCTATCAAAGGTTCTCTTCGATGCTAAAGTATCTTCCAGTGCCGGGGTCTATCCGTGAGCTACCGCTGCTGTTTCCGGGTGCCGCGTCGAACGTAACTCCGGCGCGCTGTTTTTTAAATTCGCGGACGCGCGGCTAGATTTTGAGAGCGCATCTCGTAGGAAACATTTGGAAACCGCGCTCAAACAGTTTCGCACTTCGCCATCGTCGGTCTCTTAGATGCGAACGTTCGACGTTTCGCGGTACTCGTGGGGTAAGTGTGGGTATTACTGCGGACGCCCCAAATACTGCGGTATTTTTTAAAAGTATTAATTTAACATTTTAAATATTTAACATTTAATAGGAATTTAACATTTTATAGTGTGTAATTTTCTAGATATGAATCTCGTAGTTTTTTAGGTGTTTGATATTGATAATTTATGACTTGCAAGTAACAGCAATCGTAGTTTTAATTTATTTATTAACTGTTGATATTCGGAAGCTTAGTATTTTGGTAATTAATAATGAACTATTCATTTTAGCGTCATTTTTAGATAACGTAATCGTCACTATTATCTATCCTCAAATATTACTTACTAACACAGTATTCGGCGCATAGTTTTTAGTATGTGTGCACATTACTGCGGTATTTTTTAAAAGTAACAAAATCTAACATTTTGTAGTGTGTAATTTTCTAGAAATATATCTCATAGCTTTTTATGTGTTTGATATTGATAATTTATGACTTGCAAGTAACAGCAATCGCAGTTTTATTTCATTTATTGACTTTTGATATTTCCTTATATTTCGCTTTTTAATGAAATCTTTGCTTTCAGAGATCTAATATTTTGACAAAAGTAAATATTCAAGTCGAAGAATAATAGTTATAGCTCAAGTTGTCGATTTAATGGCACAAAAGGTCTTATTTTCTCTGTCAAGGTTCGCCTTCGTTGAGAAACCACAGTAATACCTACACTTACCTTGCATGGATGATGGAATCATTTGGATCTGAAAATTACGTTTCATACTAATCTGTTATATCTTTGCAATCTAATTAGGTTCCGTAAAACGTAGGAAAGTTAAAAAAGTAATCGATGTCGAGCAATTTAACTTCTCCATTAATAATTTAAACAGAATGCTTCGAGTTTATGAAATGTTTGAGGCTGGCGCGTGGCGGTCAAGGTAGCAACCCTTCTATGTTATTGTGAACGTAAATGTAATATGAATATGGACTATTTATATATATGGACGTCCGGCTGCGACACGCACATTTCTTTCGACCTAATATTTTTATTCTATGTTATCGTTTTCGTATCGTTCATGTTATATTAATATTATACATTCATATATAATTATATGAATTATATGAATTCATATATAATATATAATTATATTATATATAATTATATATATTCATATATAATTATACAGGATGTCCCGAAAATGTCTCGCAATCCTGAAATGGGAGGTTCCTCAGATCATTTTAAGTAACTTCTTCCTTTACAAAAATTTTCTCCGAGGCACCGTTAACGAGTTAGCAACGAAAAACAGTGACCAATAAGAATCGAGCGCACGAAGCCCAGTTCCGTTCATTGGCTCGGCCGCCTCGCGCCAGCTGAGCTGGGATTCGACCGCCTCGACCACTGGCGCCGTTGGCTCGGTCGCCTCGCGCCAGCTAAGCTCGCCTCGCATTGGTCACGGTTTTCCGTTAATAACTCGTTAATGCTGCCTCGGAGAAAATTTTTGTAAAGGAAAAAGTTGCTTCAAATGAATGATATCAATTATATGAATTCATATATAATTACATAATTATATGAACGTACAATATTAATATGAAATGAACGATACGAAAACGATAACATACGACAGAATAAAAATATTAGGTCGAAAGAAATATCCACGTCGCAGCGTGCACGATAGTCCACGGTCATCGGTTGAATTAACCGCGTTCCAAAAAAAAAAAACAGATCCGTTTCCTTATCAGTAGACATTTGCAAGAGAACATTTTCCGCGTCCGAGAACGTTGCGGTCAGCTTCGGCGGGCTTCGTTTCGCTTCGGCGGAAAGTTCGCCAGCTTGGCCGCAGAAGCTTCGCACAGTGTTGTCGTCGGCGTTATCGGAAAACAGGTTCGCGTGTCCGCGATCGAAACGCAGAAACGTCGTCCCGCGCTCGTCGAAGGCGGCGTACATATCTCTCTCGCTCGTTGTTCGCCGATGGACGACTCTAGTATGGGGTTTTAGGCACAGGACTGTCGGACACGAGCAGCACCGGTTCAGCGCGCGATACGCCTCCGCCTCCGAGACCACCAGCCAGGAGACCTCCTGGCGCGGACATCACGGACATCGCGGAGTACACGCCCCATGCCTACTGCAACATCCAGCCGCCGGACGTGACGCACACGGGCAACACGCCGGCGGCTCAGCAGTCGACCAGGCGGCCGGGCGCCGATCGCGTGAATCGGTACCACGGGGTCGAGGACCAGAACAATACCGGGACCACCGGCCGATGGAAGGTGTCCGCGAAAATTCAGCAGCTGCTCAACACCCTGAAGCGGCCGAAGCGTCGGCCGTTGCCCGAGTTTTACGAGGACGACGACATCGAGCTCGAAATCGCAGCCAATCCGAAGGACCCGAACGCCCCGAAGCCCGAGGGCGGATCCATGACCTCCGCGGTCGGTGAACCGACCTCGGTAGCCGCCGGACTCCCAAGGTCGCTCGAGGCCGCTATTCAGAGGTGAGACGCCGCTGCGCCGATCGGCTGGAATCACGGGCTTCGCATGGGCGCGATCCACGCGCGCGAAGAAACTTCCGGCGAAAGATCGAATTAAAAATTGTCTTGTTTTCAGGTACGGCTCGTCGACCTGCAAAGCGCCGGTCGCGACGGTCCTCGATCCGAACGGCAAGTTCTGCGTGACGCTGACCTACGGCAAGCTTTTAAGCCGTTCCCACAAAATAGCGTACACGCTGCTGAACAAGGCGCTGAGCCGCGGTGGCGACTGCTGCCTGAAACCCGGCGACAGAATCGCTCTGGTTTACCCGAACAACGATCCGATCAGCTTCATGTGCGCCTTCTACGGTTGCCTTCAGGCCGGCATCGTACCCGTGCCGATCGAGGTTCCTCTGACCCGTCGTGACGCGGGCTCCCAGCAGATCGGCTTTCTTTTGGGAAGCTGCGGCATTCAGGTGAGACGATCGTTATTTCAAATTCTTACACAGGGTGTAAGGATTATCGAAATTATAATAACCGAATAATAAATACAGTAATGTCTCTCCAATTGACGTCCGGATTGACCATAAAAATGGACAATTTGGGAAGAGGAGATACCATTATTTGAGCCTTGCGGTTTATTTTTATAGTTGTAGATCGTTATTTCAAATTCTTATACAGGGTGTAAGAATTACCGAAATTATAATAACCGAATAATAAATACAGTAATGTCTCTCTAATTGTCTCTCAGATTGTCCACTAAAATGGATAATTTGGGAAGAGGAGATACGATTATTCGAGCCTTGTATCTCATTTTTATAATTGTGGACAATTTATAGCTATAAAAATAAACCGCAAGGCTCGAATAATCGTATCTCCTCTTCCCAAATTATCCATTTTAGTGGACAATCTGAGCGTCAGTAAGGGAGGAGACATTACTATAATAATAACCGAAATAATAATAATCGAAATTATGGTACAAGCGGGAAATCAGGGGTTCCTGAGGTCATTTGAAGTAACTTTTTCCTTAACGGAAATGGAACCTGCGACTTCGTTTGCGAGTTATTAGCGAAAAACAGTGACCAATGAGAGACGAGCGGTCGAAGCCCAGTTCCGCTCATTGGCTCGGCCGCCTCGCGCCAGCTAATCTCGCTAATCAGTGTTTTTCGTTAATAATTCGTAAACGAGAGAGAGAGAGAGAGAGAGAGAGAAGCCGCGGATTGCATTTTTGCTAAGGAAAAGGTTACTTCAAATGATCTCGGAAACCTCTCATTTCTCGCTTGTACAATAATTTTTGGACACCCTGTAGAGGCGAAAGGTATTTTCCAATGTTCTTACTCGAACGCGGTCGAAACCTGTTCAGGTGGCGTTGACGAGCGAAGCCTGTCTAAAAGGACTGCCGAAGACCGCAGCCGGTGAAGTGGTAGCGTTCAAAGGATGGCCGAAACTTCATTGGTTCGTGACAGGACATTTGGGCAAGACGCCCAAAGATTGGCTACCTCCACCTCGACTGACCGACGACACTCCGGCGTACATCGAGTACACCACCGACAAGGATGGCTCCGTAATGGGGGTCACGGTGACGAGGTCTCTGTTCGCTGCTATTTCGTATCTACAGGGTGTCCCGAAAATGTCTCGCAATCCGGAAATGGGAGGTTCCTGAGGTCATTTGAAGCAACTTTTTCCTTTGCGAAAATTTTCTCCGAGGCTTCGTTTACGAGTTATTAACGAAAAACACTGACCAATAAGAGGCGAGCTCGGCTGGCGCGCGGCGGCCCAGCCAACGAGTGCACGGAGCCCAGTTCCGCTCATTGGCTCGGCCGTCTCGCGCCAAATGATCTCGCCTCTGATTGGTCACTGTTTTTCGTTAATAATTCGTAAACGAAGCCGCGGATTGCATTTTCGCTGAGGAAAAAGTTGCTTCAAATCACCTCAAGAATCCCCTACTTTCGGATTGCGAGACATTTTCGGGACACCATCAATGATGCGTAACAACTCGATTGCGAAACGTGCCATTGCACGATTGGGCTGGAAATCCGTTTTTATCGTGTTCGAAATTATTTCAGCGTTATTACAAAATTTAAGGTCATTGATTTTATCCCAGCACCAGCTATAATATTATGAAGTAAAAATATGAAACAATTTCTGTGTAGGATACTTTTGAACTTTTTTTTTTAAACCCTTCTCATTCGTACATAACACTTACGTACTAATTGAATAATGAAAATGGATCTATTAACCCTTTGCACTCAAGTGGTGACTCCGAGGAAAATTGTTACACCACGTTGCAAGATAATTTTTATAATAACAAAGCTTACGTGTAAAGAATTGTTAAAAGTCTAACTGTTGATGTTATGAGTCACAAGACTCAATTTCATGTACATAAAATGCACTTTGTCATTAAAATAGAAATACCATAAGTCGGGAACATTAATTTAAATTTACAGTTAATATGGCTTCGAGTGCAAAGGGTTAATGTATGTATAAAACATTAAAATACACTTGTCATTTCATGCTCTATAGCGGGGTTATGGCATGGTTATTTTTAGGTAACTATTCCTAGTCGTTTGCCTGTCTCATATTATCTATGTTTATTTTAAATTTAAACTTATTTTTGGTTACAAATTGCTACTTTTCTTATGACCATACGACGTTGATAGGTCGCAGTCTATAATTTTAAAAAATCAGGTCGCCCGTAGTGATCGAAAGTTTCGCCACTCCTGCTCTATAGTAAATTCTTAATATAATTGCTTTCACTTTGAATCTCCGAATTTTATTTTTGGAGTAATGGCCCCGCACACGTAATTATCTAAAATGACTATCATTATGAATTTTTAATCTTCGAAGAGCTAGCAATAAATGCATAAAAAACATTTCTGGAAATGTAAAACTTCAGAAATTTAATTTTGGCCACGATAAGTGGATCTCCAAGCCGCTATGTATTGCTGGGTTGGTTGAATAACGATGTGCATTGCTCTCTCCAAAAAAAACTAGGTCATAGTACCATTCGCTGAACACCATCGGCATTTCGTTATCAGCCGTTCTACGAACCTTTACCCTGTCTCATTGTCTAATTCGATACCGTTGATTTCAGGTCGGCGATGCTGACGCATTGCCGTGCGTTGACGCAGGCCTGCGGATACACGGAGGGCGAGAACGCGGTCTGCGTTCTGGACTTCAAGCGGGAGGTCGGCCTCTGGCACAGTACCCTGACCAGCGTTTTGAACGGGATGCACGTCATCTTCATTCCCTATGCTCTGATGAAGGTGAATCCCGCCAGTTGGATGCAGATGATCACGAAACATCGGGCCAGCGTGGCTGTGGTCAAGTCGCGAGACCTTCACTGGGGTCTCCTCGCCACGAAGGACCACAAGGATATCTCGTTGTCGTCGTTGAGGTTGCTGCTGGTGGCCGACGGCGCGAACCCTTGGTCCCTATCCTCCTGCGACCAGTTCCTCTCGGTATTTCAGTCGAAAGGATTGCGACCGGACGCCGTGTGTCCGTGCGCGTCTTCCAGCGAGGCTCTGACAGTCTCTGTAAGGAGGCCGGGTCGCGCCGGCGTGAACGCCACCGGGCGAGGCGTACTCTCTATGTCCGGACTGAGCTACGGAGTTGTCAGAGTGGACCAGGAAAATTCTTTGACGTCGCTGACGCTTCAGGACTGCGGTCAAGTCATGCCAGGAAGTAAGTTTCCTGCGTCCGAAAACCTTTTACACGTTGAGAGCCACGTTGGTCACGTATTGGCGACACTGCCACTAAGATTTTTGGAATGTATTGGGTCGGGGAATAAGTTCGTAGCGTTTTTACATTTTCTTTTATTTTACAACGATTTTTTGCTGTTTGACAAAGTGTATAATATTCATTCGATAGAGATCTTTCTGCTCTACAAAACTGTGCTAATCGTCTTTTTGAGTAATTTAATTTTTTATTACTTTTGAGGCTTAGAAATGGAATATCCAGGAGGTAGAAAGCAACATTTTCGACACCTTCTCTTCTTCGCTTTTCATCGAGGCCACAAAGCTGCCGAAGCAGCCCGGGACATTTGCAACGTATACGGAGAAGGTGTCATAGGAGAGTCTACAGCACACAAATGGTTTGCGAAGTTCAAAAATGGCGATTTTGACGTCGACGACACGCCCCACAGCGGAAGACCTTCTGAATTCGACGAAGAGCGTCTCGAAGCACTTTTGAAGAAAGACGGTCACCAAACAAGTCGTGAATTGGCCGAACAAATGAACTGCGATTATAAAACGATTCTCAATCATCTTCATTCAATGGGATTTGCCGAAAAATTGGGAGCCTGGGTTAAATTCAATTTCAGAAGGTCTTCCGCTGCGGGGCGTGTCGTCGACGTCAAAATCGCCATTTTTGAACTTCGCAAACTATCCATGCTGCAGACTCGCCTATGACATCTTCTCGGTATACGTTGCAAATGTCCCGGGCTGCTTCGGCAGCTTTTTGGCCTCGATGAAAAGCGAAGAAGAGAAGGTGTTGAAAATGTTGCTTTTTACCTACTGGATATTCCATTTCTAAGCCTCAAAAGTAATAAAAAATTAAAATACTCAAAAATACGATTTGAACAGTTTTGTAGAGCGGAAAGAGCTCTATCGAATAAATATTATACACTTTGTCAAACAGCAAAAAATCGTTGTAAAATAAAATAAAATATAAAAACGCTACGAACTTATTTCCCAACCCAATAAAAGAGTTAAACTAATAGTTATGATAAGTTTTGACTATCAATTTTCGATTTCAGTAACGCGTTACGTGTGGAGTCGATTTTGCTGGGTTTGAGGCGGCAGGCCGGCATTATTTTTTAACCTCTTGACACTGCCGGCCCCATGCACCGATGCATCAGTCCCAGGGGGTTGACGCCGCACTCAACGTGTTAATGAAATGACGTGTTAATGAATTGATATTCAGCACTTAAAGCTTAACTACCCAAATAAAAGTATTGATTTGGAGCAAATACAAAGACTAATGAACATTTTCTCTACTCTGCCACAAAGGTATCGTGGTGGTGATCAAAATGGAAGGACAGCCGTTCATTTGCAAAACCGACGAAGTTGGCGAGATTTGCGTGCACAGTTCGGCGACCGGGAATCAGTACTGGGGACTACAAGGGCTAACGAACAACACGTTCAAAGTGTCTCCATTGCAACCCGATGGCAGTCCGCTCGGCGACGTGGAGTACACGCGATCCGGGTTGCTGGGCTTTCTAGGTCCCGGTGGCTTGGTGTTCGTCTGCGGTTCGCGCGACGGCCTCATGACCGTCACCGGCAGAAAACACAACGCCGACGACATTATCGCTACGGTTCTGGCAGTGGAGCCTATGAAGTTTATTTATCGTGGGAGAATTGCCGTGTTCAGCGTTCGAGTTCTGAGGGACGAGAGAATATGCGTCGTTGCGGAGCAACGACCGGATTGCAGCGAAGAAGAGGTACGGACATATTTTCGTCTCTGCCAAGGGTCGTCTCTTTTTAGGCGAGACAATGAAACAGCGTAGGACTTTCCGTGTCGCGTCGCTAACAACAATCGATTTCACCGGCTTACCATTTTACAGAGTTTCCAATGGATGTCGCGAGTTCTCCAAGCAGTGGATTCGATCCACGCCGTTGGAATCTACTGTCTGGCGCTGGTACCACCCAACTATTTGCCAAAGACGCCGCTCGGCGGTATACACCTGTCCGAAACGAAACGACGTTTTCTAGAGGGTACCCTACACCCGGCTAATGTTCTGCTTTGTCCGCACACTTGCGTTACCAATCTACCGAAACCACGCGAAGTCCATTCAGGTAAGCGGTCGCGCGTTCACCCGCGAGTACTATGCCCCCGAACACCGCACAGGTATACCAATCGAAACTCACCGACCGTCAATCAATTTACATGAATAATGTCAGCAAGTACAAGGATTTATATACACTTCTTCTACTCTTGGTTATAACGTTTCTACGTTTGTTTCTGTTTTTTTTTCTTTGTCTACGCAAACCGAGCGAAGCGAGGGACCCAAGGAATCGGCGAAAGACGCCGGTCCATCGGTTGCGAGGACGTTCCTCGAGTTATGTGAAACGATAGACCCGGGCGCGACAAGTCTTTCACCGGTTCTTTGGATCGCGTCGCTTCGATATTTATTATGAGTATGATCAATGGAGAGAGAATGAATGGAAGCAATTGTTCGAACTCGATTCGGGAATCGGGAGTGGGAGTCGGGAGTTGGGAGTTGGAAGTCGAGAGTTCCGAATCTTCAGCTAACGCGGAGGAACGTAACACTTTGCGCTTCTCTGTCGGGATCAGTCGTCGGTTGGCTTTCCTAGCAACTTGGCACAATTGTACAAAGTATATAACCGTCTCTTGCTACATATCATGTATCGTTAACCCATCTTTCACCATCGAGTACCTTTTAACCCTGCAACGGCTGCCGAGGTGGATTTTCGTTGTTTACGGTAGGATCGTTTGACAAACTGTAAATATGATTTGTAACTGATGATTACCGATTTAACAGAATGATAATTGATCCACGAAACTCTCCGCTCTTCCACCTCTGCAGCTTAGGGTCGTCGCTTCGCATGTATTTTCTATTATTTTCACCCTTCTTTCTTTTGGCTGAGCTCCGAACACCCCGTAGTGGTCCCTAGTGGTCCTCGATTATCCAGTGGCTATAGACGATACGAACGGTAACCAGAGCGATGCGAGATTATTCTGGGTCAGCTCTGCGAACTGCCGCGATCGATCAACGATCCCGTTTCGTCGACGCTATTTCGTTCTCCGTCTGCGAAACCGCGCCGACGAGCAAATTCGCACGGCTGACGCATCCGTAACGTGTATAGAGAAGCACCGAACAACACTGTATTTATTTCTTAGTTATTTCTTATATCAGTTGTTCGTTACTATTTTCCTTTTTTATTTTTCTTATTCTTTTGATTAAACCGACGTACGTACAGTCCACGGAATGATCCGAGCACGCCTGTAACAAGGACGTGGCTTAACCGCCTTCCGACAATAACGAACCAACCATTTTCACGAACCTGTCTGTATAGCTTTGATATTCCGGCCTCAGTCAGGGGAGAGTGTGTGAGCTACTCATTATCGGGTTGAGTGTTTGTGTTGGTTTACTAACGGAAAGGTGCGGGGGCGTGTAGCGGGGGATTCTGTTGCAGACGTTGGTCCGGCCAGTGTGATGGTGGGCAACATTGTTCAGGGTAATAGACTGGCCTCCGCCCAAGGACGGGACATGGGCGTCTTAGACGAGGACAGTGATAACGCTAAGAAGGTTCGTATCGTACGAAGTACCTCTGATCTCCTGCGAAATCTCATAGTACACGAATCATCGGTACATCGAATCATTTCAGTATCAATTCATCTCGGAGATTCTACGGTGGCGAGCAGTCAGCACCTCCGATCATGTGATATTCACGTCGTTGAACGCGAAGGGTGCTGTCGCGACTGCCATCTCCTGCTCGCAGTTGCACAAGAAAGCCGAGCGAATCGGGAATCTGTTGCTGGACCGCGGACGAATCAATACTGGGGATCACGTGGCATTAATATTTCCGCCCGGTACAGACTTGATATGCGCGTTTTACGGCTGCCTGTACGTCGGAGCGGTGCCAGTTACCATCAGGCCGCCGCATCCGCAAAATCTCCAGACAACTTTGCCAACCGTTCGCATGATCGTGGACGTTAGTAAGTCGGTGCTCGTGCTCACCAATCAGAATATCCTGAAACTCTTGAAAACAAAGGTACATAGCTACAGCTTCGTCTACGTTTTTCCTTTTATTTTCCGTTCTCTTTTTCTTATTATTACCGTTTATTATTCTCATTATCGTTACTATTAACACGTTCATCGCCTGGCGCGATTCGGCCGAGTTTCTCGCGGGGCCCAAATCCGATTGTCGATAGCGATAAGCGGGAATAGCAACGACGAAACTCGAGCAGGCCCGTGCGTTGTCGGTGCCCTAATACTATATAGAGCCTTCGATTCGTTATAGACAATAAAATTTTAGGTTCCTAAATAGGGAAAGCGATAAGGTTTTCGGCTAGAGGACTTCCGTTATCCTAGATACTTCATTTAGTCGAGAAGCATACCTTTTTTGAGACGCACATCAGTGATTTTTCATCCTCAAAATGTTCATTCGATGGCGTAAAAGTTTAATTGAAAGTGAGGATTGTAGTGATGACGAAGTAGTGAGTTTTAGAAGAAAAGTTATAAATAGAATTTCGTCGAGTTCAGACGAAAAGACTTTGACGACATGTTGGAAGTACTTGCTGTAGACGAACATAAGAAACTGAACTCTGTTGATAATACATTGATAATACAATATCCAGTGGAATGAATTCGCTAACAGTCGTTTCCGTTCACCGGAAAAAGTGGATTTATCGTTTGACATTAGCGCAAGTGAAATGCTTTCGTTATTCTTAGATTGAAAAAGTGATAAACCTTTTAATCACAGAAACTAATAGATACGCAGACCAAAAATTGCATCAGTGTATGTTGTACACCCTACATTTATATCTTAGTGCTTATTTCTTTAAATTTATTTTAAAAATCCAACTGAAAATCCTATTAACTCGAATAAGAGGAGCGTCACCCATATTTGGGTGACGGGGCCCCCACGGAAGCATACCCGTCACCCAGATCTGGGTGATGCGGCGACGAACGTGTTAATGTTGTTATTATTATCATCCGGTTGATTGTATTGTCCATCTGATTTATCGACTAAACGCAGGAGGCGAACAACGTGGTCGAAGTAAAGAGCTGGCCGACTATTCTCGATATGGACGACATGCCAAAGAAGAAGCTACCTGTTATGTATCGAGCTCCAACAGCAGAAATGCTGGCTTACCTGGACTTCAGTGTCTCGACAACGGGTATGCTGGCAGGAATAAAAATGTCCCACGCAGCGGTGACTTCCTTGTGCCGTGCCATGAAACTTGCCTGCGAGCTGTACCCGTCCAGACATATCGCTTTATGCTTGGACCCGTACTCCGGACTCGGATTTGCACTATGGTGTTTAAGCAGTATATACAGCGGACATCATTCCATACTTATTCCGCCATCGGAGGTTCGTTTCGCTTCGATATTTCGATATTCCGACATTTATACATCAGTCATGGAACTTCGATGTTGATACTCGATTGTTGTAACGATGGTATCCGTTCCCAGGTGGAAGCTAACCCAGCACTGTGGCTGTCCGCCGTCAGCCAGTCCAGAGTAAGAGACACGTTCTGTTCGTACGGCGTGATGGAGCTGTGCACGAAGGGCCTCGGATCCTCTGTTCACGCTCTGAAGGCTCGCGGCGTCAGTTTAGCCTGTGTGAGAACGTGCGTGGTCGTTGCCGAGGAAAGACCACGAATCGCTCTCACCACGAGCTTCAGCAAGCTTTTCTCTGCTCTGGGTCTCAGTCCTCGCGCGGTGTCCACCTCCTTCGGTTGCAGAGTGAACACGGCCATCTGCTTACAGGTGTGGAAACGATGCGAATTCCAATATTAAATTTTGCTATATATTAGGGTGTCTCATAAGTTCTTTCCACGCCGCGCTATGAATGAGTCTAACTGGCTGTGTTTATATAAACACGCAGGCTTATCTCTTGGCTGTTTAGGGTATCGGTTTCAGTCATCCCAGAGCTCTTTTAGAGTACGTTTCGTGGGTGACTAAGTTCCTTATAAAATTTTTTCTACGCCGTTCGATATGGATAGCCAAAAGAAGCATTTGCGACATGTTATGCTTCGTTGCTTTAACAAAAAAGTGATAGGGCAAAGGACACTGCAAACGAGATTTGTACCGTTTACGGTGATGATTCTACGACTATTAGGACAGTCCGCGATTGGTTTAAGAGATTCAGAGCTGGCAATTATGATTTGAAAGATGAAGACCGCAGCGGCCGTCCAACAACGACGGACGTGGACCTTACCAAAGATATGCTTGTTGCAAATTCGCGATATAGCATGCGCGAGATAGCAGATGTCACTAACATACCCAGAACAACGGTACATAAGCATTTAATCCAGATGGGATATGTGAATCGCTTCGAAGTTCCACACTGTCAAATTTTCATCACGACAACGCAAAACCGCATGTTGCGTTGGTCGTAAAACAAAAATTATTGCAGTTTGCTTGGGACGTTCTACCTCATCCTCCGTATTCCCCAGACATTGCTCCATTCGATTATTACTTCTTCTTGTAAAAAATTCTCCCCGTGAAAAACGGTTTAAATTTGTAAGCGAAATAAAAACGCACCTTGATCAATATTTTGCAAATAAACCTCAACAATCTAGGAAAGACGGCAT